ACTAGCTACATTGGCAGCTGGCTATCGGTATCAAAATTTGGGTACCAATTCAAAGGGCTTCACCGTTTTACGACCACCTCTCTGCCCATTGGGAACCGATTCCTAAATTGGCTACCGGTTCCTGGCAACGTGATAAAGCTTTAAAGCTTCATTATTTGCATTGTGTTGGGTATTAAATTGCATACTCATATTCTCTCTCTATATACCATCTTCTCTCTCTATATTGCTCACATAATATATACATATCTCTTCTTAATTGAACATCATTCCATCATTATATTATGTTCATTGCATAATTGGAGTGTGAAATCTTTGAGAATTGAAGATTGAAAGGGGGTTTTTGAATTGGAGATTGGGTTTTGATAAAAAAAAAATTTTTAAAAAAAAAACCAAAAAACTTAGGGAATTTGGTTGAGATTGATTTTAAATCTTTAGGTTTTGTGGTTGAAGATTCAGGAGTGAACTTTGTGGCTATAGTGCATCTTGTTGTTGATTTATTGGGGGTTTTGAAGATCTAAAACGAGCTCGTCCAAGAACAAGCTATGAACTGCACACCAAGTGTTTGAGAAAATTACCAAGTGAAGTTCGGGACTTCGAACCAAAATATTTTGAACATCAAATGGCTCCTAAATTGTCACAGAAGGCCAAACGAAAAAGGAATTGCCATTCCTCCACCTCCCAAGACAGCGCGAATGACCATTTCCATCCAGGAACCACATGAGGGTTCAAACGTTCCAAGGGACGCACCGACTTCTCATATGCATTTTAGTTCACCTTCTATTGAGGTACCAACTAGGTATCCTACAGTTTCTAACATTGGGAAGGATGAGTTTGCTGGAGAACACTTCTACAATGACCATGCTTGGAAAGTGTACACCAAATTGTACAAGGGCGGTCCAATAAAATAGGAAAGGAATGTCAATTTGAAGAAACTTGTTGAGTTCATTGAGAAGAACAATTGGCTTTACTTCACGAAGATGGAGCGTACCTACAACCCAGACATGGCACATTACTTTTACTCAAATATCCGAAAAGTCTATGATAGTGGATATTTTGAGGTTTCTTTGTTTGGCAATGACTATATTGTCAGTGAAGATATTATTCGGGATGTTCTAGATGTTCCAAAGATAGTGAACAGTACATGGTATTGTCTTCCACTTGAAATAACGTCTATAAACCAGCCCCTCTAGAGCCGTCACTAGATGCTGAGGTTGAGAGAGATGAGGATAAGACAGATGATGATGCTGAGGATAATGGGGATAGTAGTGGTAGTAGTAGTGATGATGGTGATGATGAGATTCTGACTACTACTATTCCATTTGAGGGAGATGTTGATGCTTGATTCTATGGTCATATCATACATGTATCATGTTTTGTTCAGTTTTTACATTGTTATGACTTATTATTTTTGGATATTATCTTTTGCTTAATGACATGTAATAATCTGTTCACTATTTCTCTTTTAGTTCCTTTTCTACTCTAAAAACCTATTAATTGCTTTGTCAATTTTGTTCCAAAAAGGGGGGAGAACAATGGTTAATTTAAGGGGAATAAAATACTGAAAAATTGAATAATTTATTCAGGGGGAGTTTTTAGCTTGTTTTATAACTTGTTTTATTAAACTTTCACTGGTAGTTTTGCTTGATTCATGTGCAGGAAATCAGGTGAAATTTTACCCAAGAGAAGAAAAAAACAAAGAAGAATACATTCCATGTTTCCTTAAACAAAATTGTAATTTACTTTTCTGTTTTGGCAGATTGCTTACTTGTTTTTAGGGTTTTGTCACGAAATTGCTAAAGGGAGAGATTGTGAGATATAAATTTGTAATTAGCAATATTCGTTGTTAAAACAAGTCCTAGTCAAGTTGTAATTCAAGTTACCATATTAGAATCGACAACAACTACGGAATGGAAAGGTTGTTCAAAAGAAAAAATACTGAGATCATAAAAAATGGTAAGAACAACACTTTTAGGAAGTCGTTTCCCACTTAGGACACAATACCTACAAGGTATATTTTCCAAGTTACCAAAAATAGAATTTACCATCTTCTGATTAAATTCTGTCAAGTGGGAACCGGTACCACATTTGGGAACTGGTTCAAAAAACTGTCCTTCGAAGAATTCTATTTTGTCCTTTGGGAACCGATTTCACATCTGGCTATCGGTACCACTGTTGCTTTAGCTTTAGGTATCTTTGTCCTGATCAATTTTAAACTTCCTATTTGGTTTATAATCTTACCAAAAGTCCTATGCACAAAATTTCCTTTATTTTCAGAAGGATTAGATATTGGAAAATTATATATAAACCCAGATACACATCTATGTTTATTAATGGCTTTTGCACTATCAATTCACTATTTTTAAAAGCCTTAGGACGATTATGTTCTCGGCCAGTCTTTCTAGAACATACACATAAACACAAGAGTGAGTTTAGAGTGTTGTTCAAATCCTGATCGTGATCATACAGTTGCATCTACAACAATCAAAGAAAAGCAGATCTACTTTTACGTCGAATTCAGATATTAAAGAATAGAAGTAAAACCGATCACAGGGCCAAAGCATTCGAGGAGTGTTGTTTGAATAACCTGCTGCTCTTCTACAAAGATCAAGCATAACTCTGAGGTTAAGTTGTTGTTGGACGGGACGTCGCAAAGCCAGATGATTGTCAGCTATTAGTATTTGGTAGAACAATAGGGTGTGAGCCAGAGTCAAAGTTCAGTATTTTTTGTTTCACATAGTGGATCAGTTTACTTTGGACTGCACAGTCCACGAGGTTTTTCCCACGCAAATAGTTGACTTATTTTATCAACTACGGTTTTCTCGCTAAAAATCTTGATGTCATCTCTACCTCTTTACTTTACTTTATTTTATCTTGCATGACATTAATTATTTAATTTCTAAAATAAGTAAAGTTGGAAAGACACAAATTTGTTTCTAAAAATATAAAACTTTCTAAATATTCCACTGCGTATAACTCACAAAAAGATCTTGAAATACCGTACCTATTTTGAAATATTGTAAATATATATAATAAATGATTTTTGGTTCATCGGTGATGGAAAAAATTTATGGACATCAAACTTGGATGGCCGCTGGATATGAAGAATATAAAAAAGACGATTACCAAAAAAAAAAAGGAATAATCATATCCAATTGTCATTCAAACATGGTGTGAAATATGAATAAATGTTTTGCTCACTGGTTAGCACAAGATAATTTTGATGTATATATGTGTATGTGTATATATATATTTATTATATATAAATACAAGTATGCAAGGGATATGGTTGGACAAAGCTTCAACTGTGAACCTTTTTTTTTTTTGAATGGTAAAGTAAACACACACACACATTTTTGCCCACGTCGGGGCTCGAACCCCTCTCCTCTTCTTTGAAGATGGGGAGGTTATACCATTGGGCCAAAGGCCCTTTGGTAGCTTCAACTGTGAACTTGCATTACTCAATGTAGTGACGTACTAACTTAGAGATTTATCTACGGGTCAAGTGCAAAAAACACCCCTATAGTATGCATATAGTGCATATTGCACCCTTCATGTGCAAAAAACACCCCTAAACTATGATATTTGTGCAAATAAGTCCTACTGAAACACTTATGACTAAAATACCCTTAACTACACATTTAATAATATATATAAAAATTTAATATTTTGTGAAATGACTAAAAAGCCACAATCTATACCCCACCATGCCTAGTTTGCCGGAGGAAAAGAAGATGACAACCCAATTCACCAATTCGGCCTATTGTAATCAAGAACTCAGAAAATTCATCAACAAATTGATCAACCAAACATAAAGCCTCAAACCCACTTTTCATCGGCCCACCTTCTCAAATCTGGTTTATGAAGGTTTCTTCATTTTTTTTTATCTTATTTCCTTTATGGTGGAGCTGAACGCGACTTGAGAAATTGATGATCACAATGATGTGCAAAGGTACCACCTTCATTCATATATGCATATGCTTCACTACAAAAATCAACTTCTGTGTACTACCAAAGGTGAAGCAAAAGCCCAAGAGAAGGGCATCAAAAGTTCCTAACTATCAAAAGCTTGCTGACTTGGTCTCCCTCAAATGGATGAGGCGAGCGAAGTATAGGAGGAGTTCTCAGAGGTCCAAACAGAGTTTCCCTACAAGTTAATCCAGTCTGCCAGCAGAGCCACCCCCTTCGCAAGAGGCGACTGAGGCGAGTTGGTCGGGGTGGGGACATGAGCGATCGGCGAAGAAGGCCCCCCTGATCTAGCTCCAAAAAACCAACCCAACCCTTCATTCAAGAGCGTCACCGGTGAAAAAGGCGACTCTCGACGGCGGGTAACATTAAGCTTAGCGATTTTGAACCGAACAATTAAACGGCCAGATCGCCGATAACGTACTAACGAAGCTGGGGCATCTCAAATGCAAGTGCGTCCTCTTGCCTGCGGGACAGCTCCGTAATGGTTTATCTCTTTTTGACTTTTTCCACCGGCCGTGAAACCATAAACTCGCTTTGCCTGATGGTTGGTTTGGGGTGGATAATAAGGTTTGGTAGGGGCATTTTTGGAAGAGTAAAAAGATAAAATAGGTATTATATTAATTGGGGAGGGGGGTTTTGCACAAATTGAAAAGAATAGGGATATTTTTTGCAGGCCTTTTTAAATAAGGGATAAAAGTGTTATGAATACTTTAAGGGTGTTTTTAACACTTATCCCTTTATCTACAATTACCTGCTCTAGGACTCATTCCTAACCAATCATTTGGTGTAAACAATAGTTTAATGACCAAACTACCCTTGTAATTTGCTCAAAATAACTATACATTGTCTCAAATAAGAGTGAAATGGCATTTTCTCATTGCATATTAAAGTACTAATTGTTTTGAAGCAATCCAAGGGACCCACCTTGTTGGAACCTTGTAATTTTTATTAAATTGATGAGAGAGAGAGAGAGAGAGAGAGTCCAAACTCCAAAGTAATAACGTCCAGAGAGTGGAACCTTTTTCACTTGGTGTAGTGGGCTTCCTTAATAGCAGGACAAAGGAAGGAATAGTTATACGAGGCAAAGCAGTTATAGTTTTGAGTAGGAGGCTGCTCTTGCTTGGGTCTTTGAATTCTCAATCGGACAAATCTCAGCCGTTAGATAAGGTTGGCGTAGGATTCTCAGTTGAGTACACGTGCTGCTCTCTTCCCTTTACTTTTTTTTATTTTTTATTTTTTATTTTTTTTTAATCTTTGCTTTCCATGCATGGATTTCTCCTCCCCAAGTATAGTCGTGATGAGTTTTTGTAGAGAGAGAAAGTAAGAACTAGCCACGATGAGAGAGAAAGAGAGAGAGTAAACCGCTCTCACTCTTTTAATTTTTCTTCTTTGGCTTGTTCATCGCCATCATTAGCAGCAACAAAGGTAACAAACCCACCTCTTCGAATTTGATCTTTTCCTTCAAATTTCAACTACTCGAGAGCTACTAGTGACAGAGAGACACTACATACCCACTATAGGCTTCCTTTTTTCTTTGCTTCCCCTGTACATCAGATCTTGTTCTTGCCCAATAATTCAATTTTAATCTGTGAAAATATCAAGAACACTCATCACCCACTTGAATTTTCTCATCAGATTTGAACTTTCTATCTATTTTCTTTTTTTATTTTCTGGGCCACAGTTGGTTATATACTCTGTTCCTCCATTTCATTGGCAGAGTGTAATGAGATCGAAACTGTAGCATTTTTTCTCAAATTTGTGATCAGATTTGATCTTTTTTTGGGTAATCTGATTTGTTTATTGCAATTCTGATCCATGGAAGAAGATCAACACATGAAACTACATGTGTGCAAGTTCTGCAACAAAAGCTTCCCATGTGGTAGGTCATTGGGAGGTCACATGAGGTCTCATCTGATCAATTCAGCTGATCATCAAACTGATGGAAAGCTCACCAAAAAGAAGCTCTCATCTGTCAAAAATGGTGGAAACAAAGCTAATAATGCCACTGTTTATGGCCTCAGAGACAACCCCAAGAAGACATGTAAATTTGCAGATTCAAGTGATGGTACTACTCTGCTTCATGATAAGCTCTGCAGAGAGTGTGGCAGAGGTTTTCAATCTTGGAAGGCCTTGTTTGGCCACATGAAATGTCACTCTGAGAGATTCTCAAACATTGTGGGGGAAGATTCATGGACTAGTGCTGGTCACAGACAGGTCACAGACAGCCAATCTGACAGCGAATTCGCGGCGTCGAATCGGAGGAAGAGATCGTCAAGAAGAGTAACAACAAGGTACACCAACACTACAGCTTCTTCCTCTTCTTTATCTACTGTTTCTGAGATTGAGCAAGAACTAGAAGAGGTTGCTATTTGTTTGATGATGCTCTCAAAGGATGTGACTCAATGGGGTGGTTTGAACTCTGTTGCTGAGTCCTCAGATAATAATTCTGAGTTTTTGGAAGCTAAGAAATCTCTCAAGTTCAAGAAACTAAGAAATGGGAAGTTAGAGTCTACTGTTTTGGATTCTGAGAAATCACAGTGTCCTGAGAAACAATCAGAATTTGCTGATTTTGGGTTTTCAAGAAAAGGGTCTAAATTGAACAAATCAGAAGTTTTAGCAAATGGGTTGCTTAAAAGTGACAACTTTAGCAAGTCTAAAGTGGATGAATATGTAGTTGAATTGGGGAAGAATTCAATCAATGAAACTGGATTTGATCATGCTGAATTGGGTTCTAAAAAGTGTAGTTCAAACAAGAGAAAGTGTAGTGATTCTTTTGATCCTAAATTGGGTGTTTTTGACTCTGAGAAGAGAAGCAAATTTGAGTGTACTACTTGCAATAGGTTCTTTCACTCATACCAAGCTCTTGGAGGCCACAGAGCTAGCCACAAGAAGATCAAAGGCTGCTTTGCTTCGAAAACCGATAGCAGCGAAAACAACAGCATAGAAACTGAGATCTCTCCTTACCCTATTGCTCAGGACAAGCTCATCAAGTCCTCCAACAGAGAGAATCACATTGAGCAGGAAGAGCTTGCAGGCTATGGCGAAAAGGCCGGGACGAGTTATGGGTCAAAGAAGAGCAAGGGACATGAATGCCCCATTTGCTTCAAAGTGTTCTCATCAGGCCAAGCTCTTGGTGGTCACAAGAGATCACATTTGATTGGTGTCTCTGAGGCCAGAAGCCACCAGACCATTGTCATTCAGAAGCCAATTCCGGAAATTCGAGACCTTCTTGATCTCAATTTGCCTGCTCCTATTGAAGAAGACAGCAATGGCAATGGCCATGTTGGGTTCAAGCCATGGTGGGTTGGAACTAACCACAAGCATGAGCCACTTGTGAGTATGCTCTCTAGCTAACTCATTCAGGTTCTACCATTTCTTTCCTTCAAAAGGTTCAAGATTGTGTACAGATTCATTAATTCTTTACAAATCTGAAGCATTTTGCTTAGATGACAATTTCATTTGCTGCTTTTAGCCTCTAAAGCAGCTTTCTGTTTCCTTTTTTTCTTTTTCATTTTTTTTTTTTTTTGGGTAACGAAAAATCAACCTACCGTTAGTCACTTTAAACTCTTGGAGGGTTTACAAACTCCGAATACACACAATTGCTCGCAAATCACCTGCATCAATGAAACTATAGATACGTAAGATCTTATCAGCCGAGCTGTCAGTGCGGACTCGTTAAAAGCAGCCCAATTTGAGCTTCACCTTGCCAAGCTTTAATTCTGCTAATCTTTTTATCTCTTTTCTGTTTGTTAAGTGAATAAACTTCTATTGCTGCAACTTCCAAGCTCATCAATGTGTTTTTGACTCGAGACCTCAATACCATAATTGACTTTCATGTTTGTTGTTGCTCTTTCAACTTCTATTACAACTACACTTCTTTGTGACAAGTAATATATGTGTTTTCTTTGGTAGTTACTTTTCCATGGTATTGAAGAGAAATGAGAGAGAGTGTTGAAATTTGGATTGGTCTGTGAAGTCATGTGGAAATAAAGGCATTTTTATAATGTACACAATGATGTCAAGGTGGTTGTTTAGTCACCAACCATACCACATGAGAAACCATTTCACCTCCCTTTCTTTCTAAACTTAATTGTGCTAGTGGTGTTAATGAATTCCTAACCATAGACTATTGGCAATAGAAAGATCATATAATTATATATATATATATATATATATAGAGAGAGAGAGAGAGAGAGAGAGAGAGGACCACTTACAATATTAGTTCATAAAGAGTTTATCAGCAAGATGTTACAGATACCGATTGCATCTTGGTTAAAGAAATTGTTTCTAATACTTTATTGTACCAAAGCTATTAGACTTTTTCAAATCATGATTTGTTGGGCCTTAAATTCTTATTCAGATCTCGACCCAAACCAAACAATGACTTCTGTGATTTGTGGATTGAATTGGGTTGGCTTTACTTCACTCTAGGCTCAAATTAATGGTGGTGGTCAACTAAAATTTAGTTAATGTCAACTAGAGCTGGGTCAAACTCTAAATCTCAATAAGAAGTAAATGAGAAAATTACGGACTTGTTTGGATAAACAGAGGACTGAAAAACAAAAAATAGTTTAAAATCCTAGTTTGTTGTTTTTTATTATTATTATTTTCAAGGTAAGAATATTAGATTATAAGTTAGAGGCGTCCAAGCTTGAAGCCGGGCTTCGGGCTCCATTTGTTTGAATATAAAATATTCTTTTTGAAAAATATTTTTTTTTTTTCAGGTAAAATATTCTTTTACTTTTACTTTGTCGGTGTTTGGCAAAGGTTTACATCGAGGTTGAGATCGAGTCCATCGGGCACGACATGTAAAATACTCCATAACTTGCAAAAAATTGATGGATAAATTATTTTTATTAAATTTTAATATTTTTTTTCTTTGTAAATATTTTACGACAATTAAATACCAGAAAAATATATATATATTTTACGTCTAAACAAACAAAACTTAAGAGTTTTTTTTTTTTTTTTTTTTTTTTGGCGGAACTTTTCAAACATATTTTCAGAGAATTGGATCAAACATAGTTTATAAATTTGGTCAGGCTCTTAACGCTTCATAGATACATTTGGCCTAAACATAAGTAGAAAAAAAATAAAAATAAAAAAACGTTTGTTTTTTCCTGTGTCTTATCCAAAGCCCGAGTCAAATTATAGGATATGGTAAAATGGTGCAGGAATAACCTCAATTTTGGGCCTATTTCAGACCAAGAAAGAAAATATATTAACTTGATCAATTCATAAGATGACAATTGGGCACTTTTGTTAGGAATATAAATGCACTCTTTCATTACAACTGTTTCATTACAAGCATCATCGTCACACAAATATATAACGACAATTAAACACATCTACACACAATATAATATTTTATATGATTCATCTAAATTTCGTGTCACGTTGATTGAGAGATTTCACTATTATATATAAGGAAGAGAATATATATATAATTACGGATGTCAAAACCCACACTCTTTCACTCTTTTTTTCTTTTCTGGACTAAGAAAACCAGAAACTCTTTCTTTTCAAGGTTACATATACAAGAATTACATATACTCTCTTCTCTTCACACAAAACTCACCAACCCCTTACATCTTCTCTTTATCTCTCTACCTAAACAAATCACTATTTATAGACTCTTCAAAAACAATTCCTTGTTAGACACGTATTTCGGAACTTGATTATAAGGAGTTACCATATCAGTCACAACTCTAAAATAGATGTAGCTCAAACGAAAAAGGAAACTAATTTTTGCACACGAGCCATATACCCAACATCATTTTTCTTGTAAACATATGATTATTATTTGATATGGGTTTAATTTTAAAAAATAAAGTAAATACAAAATTAGTATCAGGGTCAGTTTATTGAAGAGAAATGAGAGAGTAAGAAAAGAAAGGAAATGGAGAGAAAGTAGTGTTGGTTTTACACAATGTGAAAGGAAATGAAAGGATTTTAAGGGAGTACCAAACATTTTGCACGATAACATGCATTTGTATCCTTCCTATAGGGAACTAATGAGTGAATTACAGTTATACTCTTCTCATTCATATTAAAGTATTCTTCTCTCTCCATTATCTTTTTCAAACACGATTAAGAGTTTTTTTTTTTTTAACCAAACAAAGCAAGAAATTTTATTAAATGGAATCAAGAACGATCCAACTCAACCACCCTAGCAATGTGACCTGGTAGACCATCAAGCACATGGAAACCTTCCCAAGTTATCTACCAACCACTGTCAGCTCTGGTCTGGTAAAGGCCTTCTGAAGGTTACCAGCTCTAAGAAGGGTCTCTTAAAATTTCATTTCTCCTTTCTAGATGAATGTAACAAAGTGTTTGCTGAGGGACCCTGGTCCCTAGCTACCAAACCATTAATTCTAAAAATTTGGGAGCCATCTTTCCAGAAAGAGAGATCCACTTCCTTGCTATCATATGGATCAAGTTGTTTGGACTCCCACTGGACAGGACCTGGTCTTAGCTATATGGCCAGCAGTATTGGACATCTCTGTTTGCTGACTCCATAACAGAAAGAAGTAAGACAAGGTTTGCTAGGGTTTGTGTGGAGATCAAAGCCAATTATGCTTTCCTATCTGTCTTTAAGCTTCATCCCAGCTGAGGGAAAGTGATCAATGTCACTGTAAAGTACCAAAGCTACGCTGCAATTTGCTATAGTTTTTAATTTTTTGGTCACATAAATAAAACGTGCCACATACAACAAACCATATCATCTCCAATGAAGTCTCCTCAACCCTCCTCTGAATGGCAAGTTGTTCCTACCACCAAATCTTAACCCCATACCTAACAACAGCTCACATGTTTCCCTTTAGGGATTCACCTACCAATAGGGATCCACCACCCCATTCACCTCCACCCCAGCTCCATGTCTTATTCTACCAAGGGCCAAAATGTCTTCACTCACTACTTTAAACCAAATAACAAGCTTACTGTGGATCTTTCTTCTTCACACCATCTTAATCATTTGACCTCCCATGAAGATAAACCTATCCTTGATAGCATTTATCCCATCCCCACCTCCCCTTTGAATTATTTGGTGACCACCCGCCAAATTCCAGAAACTGGTGTTGGTTACTCCAGTTTACCAGAGAGTGATTCCTCCCACAGTCTTGCTACTGATCTGACAAAATCAAAGTCCAAGAGAGCTGTAAAATAAAGAAGAAGCATGCGAACAAAGGTCCACTAATCCCTCGATGGGGTTTCTGCTCCCAGCTGGTAGATTTTTCAACAATATCAAATGGTATGAATAGCCATTTGGAACATAAGGGGACTGAACAACCCCTCAAAGCATAATGAAACTGTTGAAGAAATTGTGTAGAATAATATATATATAGTATATTGAAGGCAACAAAAATAATATAAACTTTGAAGCGGTGTATTCATTTTCCTTGAAGTGTTATTTGTCTCCACACTAATTGAGTATGCTATCTGATTGTGTAGCCAAACACTCCCAGAATACAAAAGAAGTTTGAATTTTTAGATTTAGCAATGCTAAAAGAATTCTTTCAACAGTTTTTAAAACTGTTGAAATGAAGACTGAATAAATGGGGGAGAGAGAAGAAAATTATGTTCGTCTAAGAATCTAAACTAAGCCACCTTTATTTATAGGGGTATTAAAGGGTGCAAAAACTATTTACAGGTATTAAAGGGTGCAAAAGCTATTTACAAAAGACATGACTGTTTGTTAAAATCCAAAATAACTATTGGTCCAAACCCAAACCCAAACCCAAACCCAAAAGTCACGACTATTGGTACCGAAAGGTACATTCTAGAAGTTATAGGAATATAATTAATTTTGTTTAAGGGTTAAAATCATAAAACCCCCCTCTATTATTCCAAAACATATAACCCCTTATACTAAAGAATCTATCATATCACCCCACCAATTTTCTAAAAACTAACATGTCACCCATTTCATTTATTTGGTGTCTAAAACTAATGGGAGACAAACGTGTGCCTATCACATGCCACTTTTATAATTATTACTTCCTCCGTCCCATATTAATAGTCCATTATCTCATTTTTTGCTGTCCCATTTTAGTTGTCACATTTCAAAAATCAATACACTACTTTTTATTACATTCCTAATTTACCCCTAAAAGAAAGTGAATTCCATTTTTCATACTATTACTTTTGAAACTCAAAAATAAGTAGACCTCATTAAAAATCAATACTCTACTTTTTAAGGAAGGGCAAACTTGGAAATGTATTTTTTGCTAACCTAATAAAATATAATAAAAGTTGTTGCCTTAAAAAGTGTGAAATGAAAAATTCAACGATTATTAAGGGACTGAGATAGTATATGAATAAACTGCTATTGTAATCATTTAATAACCATTATACCCTTTAAACCCCAAATGAAGTCAATTGTAGTTGTCCGCATGGAATAATTCCCCACATCTGTCCTCTACTCGACTTCCTTCTTCCGGTGGT